ATCAAATTTTTGTATTTGCCTTTTAATTTCTTCTCTAATCTCCCTCTTAATCATTTTTATCATCCTTTCTCTTTGTGATTTGATGATTTCCATGAAGATGAGTGAGTAGTAACCTTTAGGGTTTTAGATGTGGTAGATTAGGAGAATTTAGAGGCTTGTTAGTGTTTAAAATGATTGATTCTTCTCTATTAATCTGTGTTTAGGCTAGATTTGTCTTGATCACATGAATCTAGATTTAGGCTTCACCTTGTGCCCACCAAGTGTTTAATGAAATGCTGATCTTGTTAGATAGAGGATTTACTGGCCTTAGCTCAAGAGATTGACTGTCTGAGGAGTATTTTGACTTGAATAGAGTTGGTTTTGCTTGCTTGTTGATTGTTCTAGCACCAATGAGAGTTAGTTCTTGTTAGAATGATTAGCAAAGGGTTATTTGTCAAGAGATTGGACTTAAATTGCTTGATTATGAACTCTATGTCTAGGAATCAGCATTGCTTGCTTGTTTGCATTGTCAATGATGTTTGAAAAAACCTTATCTAGCCTTTGAATTCCCCAAAGCCAATAACCACATCTAGGATCCTTCTTTCTCTTATTTGAATTTCGAATTTTGCTTTAAGTGTTCTGTTTTCTTGCTCTGTTTTGCTTCTGATCATTGCTAAGTTGTTCTCTTTTGAGTTCTGTTTGGTGATTGATCACTTAGGTTGATAGTTCCAGTTATGTTAAACAACAAATCTTTTTGATTCACCTGACTTAAAGCTTTCTGCTCTTAGTTCTTGTGGTATCTAGCTTAACCCATTTGGATTGATAAAAATCCTTACTACAATGACTAGTACAAAGGGTGATTGAGAAAGAGACTCAAAACTCTAATATCAACCACAATACAGATGACTCCCTATGAAGTTGTGTACGACCAAGCCCCTCGTCAACATTTGCCTTACTTACCCGGTGAATCCAAAGTGCCAGTTGTTGCAAAGAGTTTGCAGGAACGGGAAAATATGCTATTGATCCTAAAGTTTCATTTACTTCGAGCTCAACACAGGATGCAACAGTTTGCCGATCTGCATCGCACGGATCACAGCTTTAAAATCGGAGATTTTATATATGTGAAACTACAACCTTATCGGCAGAAATCTGTAGTGATGCGCTCAAATCAGAAGTTTTCCCCTAAGTATTTTGGACCTTACAAGATCATCGATAAATATGGGAAGGTCGCCTACAAGTTACATCTACCAGCAACATCTCAAATCCATCCCGTATTTCATGTTTCTCAACTAAAATTGCAGGTTGGTGATGTATGTGTCTCGAATCAACTACCTTCTATTACCCAAGATGTGTTGATCAAAGAACCTGAGCGAATTCTTGAATGGAAAATGATTAACTGGCAAGGTCGAGCTACTACAATGATATTGGTGAAATGGACATCGCAAGCAGGGGAAGAGGCTACATGGGAACTTCTCTTTGACTTGCAGAAGAAGTACCCTTCTTTTCAACCTTGAGGCAAGATTTTTCAAATGGGGGAGATTTGATATAAGAATATTATAGAAAGGAAGAGTCACGTAGTTGACTAGTTTTTATTTTGGTTTTCTAAACTAGAAGTTTTTTAATTATTACGTCGGTTTAATTTCTTATATAAAGGATTTGTATTCAGCTTTAGCGTGATATCAATAAACAGTTTTAAGAATTCTTCTTCTCTCCTTATCATCTTCGTTAAGTTAGCTCAACCCTAGCTAAGAATCTCTTCTACTAACGTAGATTCTCTGCCGTGAGTGCGGAATCCGTGTTTTAGGAACATTGGTTTCGAGTTCTATCAAGTTCTTCGGGAATTGCAGGTTTCTCTCTATCATCCTTGATGCAAAATATGCGAGAAATTTCATGTAAATATGGAGAAAATTTGTAAATTAGTTACGTCATAATCATAAACCCAAATATAAAGAGATGCTACACACTCGCTTCATAACACAGCTTTTTGTCTCTTGCTTACCTCCATATGCATTGACCCTTGCCGAAAGATTTCTTTCGTTCAGGTCTAAGGCCTCGTTTGTTGCTTCTGAGATTGGAATGATGCCTTCACATGAAAAAAAAATGGGAATTCAATACATGGGTTAGACGCATGAGAGAAAGAGATGAAGAAAGGCGATATCTTAGCAATGATCCGTCACCGGTTGGATTTCTCCTGGAATTTAGAACTAAAGTAAAGATTATGAAATCGAATCTATTTATAATTAAGTTACTTGATGGATGTTAAAAATGATCGGGAAGGCATGGGAGATTGGAAGAGCTTGAAACCGAAATGAGCTATTTCAAAACGTTGATGTGGCACGATCTTAGAGAAAGATGGTGAAATAGTGTGGTGGTGAGAGACCATTTTTGAAGGTAATAGGCAATAAATTGGGGTAGTGGAGAGAAATTTTTTGATTGATGAATTGTTGAATTGATAACTGGTGATTAAATTTTTTTCTGGATTGCAATCGACATGAGACGGCAAGAAAGAGATACTGCAGAAGAGGAGATTTAAGAAGAAGGGTTTTTTGCTTTTGAAAAAATAAGATACAAAATAAATTGAAAAAAATAAGCAAAATATATATGAAACATAAAAAAATGTAAACAAAATTTTAAGCAAAATTTAAACAAAATTTAAGCAAAATTTAAGTAAAATTTAAGCAAAATATATCATACCATTTTCATACTGATCACAATGGCAACCTTAATCTTGACAACTCACATACTATTTATATTTCTTAATTAGTAAATAATTCTAATGGTTAACATGATTTGGTTTATTTGACATATATATTTTTTTTTAAAATCCTAACTAATAAAAGAAAATTCAAACTTAGCGTTGATGTCCTCTTGTAGCTCGGTCGGCGGCATCAGGAATTAACGGATCGTTTTTGTTATGAGGGATTTCGAATCTCCTTATCGGAATGGTTCCATGTGGGCATGTTGTTGTGCTGCTGTGCCAAATTTGCCAACCAAAGCCTTCTTCTTTTATCTTTATTGGCTTTTACATATTTTTTATTTATACATTTTACAAAAATACAAACTAAAAAAACTGTGAATTATCAGCAGTTCTATTTATTTTTATATAAGCTTATAAAAAAAATTTCCAATGGGTTCTTACATATTTTGTATATATATATTTTATAAACTACAAAAATTATAAATTATCTATTTTTTAGTGACCTTTTATGTATATATTTGTTAGACATTCACATGACATAATTTAAAAAAAAAAATTAAACAAACACTTGTTCTACAAAGTATAAAAAACTGTAAATTATCTATAAATAAACTGTTTACAATACTATTTCGAATAAGAAATAAAGAGAATGTTTGAGATTGATGGAGGATTTATTTTCTTGATCTAAATAAAAAAAGTGAAATTAAAAAATTCAAATGAATAAAGATATGCAAAGAGCATATATAGATATGTATGACAACATATAAGTATAAGAACGAGTTTTTAACAATTAACACATCGCGTTTTATATTCAAAAATAACTTCATAATAAATCTACATATTTTTATGATAATATATAAACTACAACAATATTTCAAATTAAAAAATAAAATAAAAATAGATTAAAAAATTAAGCATAATAATAATGTAAATATATGATTTCGAATAAGAAATAAAGAGAGTAAGTGGGATTGATGGTGAATTTATTTTTTCACTAAAAATAACCGATATAAAATAAAAAAATCATATATATAATTAGGCAATTTGCTCTCCATCGAGACTGCCTACCTCAGCAATTTTGGTCTTTTTATAAGCTTTTATATATTTTGGGTATTCATTTTTTGGTTTTCATCTGATATTAATTAAAACTAAAAATAAATACTTATTTAACAACCCACAAAAATTATAAATTCTCTATTTGTGAAAAAGAGTTTAGAAGGCAAACAAATACAAAAAAAGGAAAAACGTATTGAGAATAGTTATCAAAATTAAAAAAAAAAACTTAGAAAGTTATAAATAAATCGAATGTAAAATTAATCATATCAAACAAATATATATTTTACAAACCATAGAAACCTACAAATTCTCTACAAAATAAAAAAAAATCAATAGGGTATTTCGAATATAAACAAAGAAAATATGTAAAAAGAGTTGGAAGTTGAACAATTACGAAAGACAACAGAAGAACTTGCGGAGAATAGTTATCAAACTTTAAAAAAAAAACTTCAGAAAGATTAATACATAAAATTAAAGTAAAATCATTCATATCTACTTTACTGTATAAAATGAATGAAGGTTTTTCATGAATAAAGAAAACTAAAATGTTTAATTATATAATATAGAAATGAGTTTGATTTATACAAATGAAAAAAAAAATCTAAAAAATACTTATCAACCATTTATTTCTCAACAATGTCAATATAAAATTGATATTCGATGACTTTACTCTTCAGCCGAATAATATATGAGTTTTAATATGAAGTGTATAAATCAACTAAAACAAGATTGTTGATTATAATTTTTTAACAAAGCTAGGTCGTTTATCTCTACATGACATGAAAATAAACAACAATATTTTCACATAGATTCATAAAATATAGTCAGATGGTTCATCATCTTCAGATGGATGAACACATCAGAATTGCTTCATTAAGAAGAGAAACGTCTCAAATCAGTTAAATCAATAGTTTATCCAGTATGCACAATGTTTGATATAAAAACCTATTAAACATATGTAACATATGAACAAATCTCTTGTTCTATCTCACCCACTCTAAGTATAATTCCCTTCATTTAGAGTTATAACCAATCACAAAACTGAATGAAACTGAAGCTCATGAAATAAGAGAAAAGATCAGTATTTATACTCCCTCTCTTCATAAAAGAATGATGCTTTGTAAGTTTTACACATATTAAAAATTTATATTAAAACTTGATTGTAATACATTATTTTTTTTTTATGATTAACCATTTCCTATAAATTATACAAAAAGTAACGTAAATCAAAAAAACTCTCAATGGCGAACGTGAGGGGGATTTAGGGATGTGCTCCGGTGGGGGTCTTCGTGACGGTGGTTTGCGGTGGAGACTTACGGTTGTGGGGAGATCCCTTGATATCCATCTCCTTCTTAGAGAGATCTGGAAGATCTATGGTCTAACCTCCCATCCGCTGATTGAGAACAATCTGGGTGAGAAGATCATCGAGAGGGAGAATAAGGAAACTCAATGGAGGATTTTCGGAGATTCAGAATGGCATATTAGGTCATTGACGGTGAAATTAGCTGGCGAATTGAGAGAATTTGAGATAGACTCATACGGATCTTCACAGATTTTATGGGATACCTTTATTGGAATTGTTGGGGTTGTGGAGTTAATGGTATCAAAAGGGGAAACACAAGAAATCAAATTACAATCTTCAGACATGGTTTTGGCAATTTGGATCAACTATAAGGCGAGAATCAGGATGATTGCGGATGAAAAGGATCAAAGGGGGTCGACTCAAAGATTCGGGTTTCACTATTTAGGGATTCTTATGAGGCTGTTACATAATCGCAATCTCATAACATCTTCAGTTTCCTCATAATTTTTTTTCATCATCTTTGCGTACACAATAATCATGATGCAAAGCGGATGCATTCAGAGGAAACATGCAGGAAAACAGAGCACGACGGTGACAACGGGTTTCAAGATCAAAATCCCGAAGTTTGACAATTCGAAGCTGATTGAGAGTTACTCCAAAACCTTGATTGGGCGGTGTTTGAATCCTCAGAAGCAAGATGTCAAGTCCTTGCTTTATATGATGCCGCGAATCTGGAAGATTGAAGAGAAGGTGGCTGGGGCGGATTTAGGGCTTGGGAGGTTTCAATTCGACTTTGATGAAGAAACGGATATCATCGAGGTGTTGAAGATGGAGCCTTTCCATTTTGATTATTGGATGGTATCTCTGGTACGGTGGAAGCCGGTGGTGGATCCTAACTATCCATCTGCCATCACTTTCTGGGTCAGAGTGGTGGGAGTTCTTTTACAACTCTGGACGGAACCAACATTCAGGGGGATCGGTGAGGCTCTGGGGGAAGTGAAAGAGGTGGATATTGATGAGGGGAGGATTCGGGTGGTGATGGATGGTGGAAAACCGCTCATTTTTGATTCGCTGGTCGACTTTGACAATGGGGAAGAGCTCCCAATCACGCTGCGATATGAACGTCTCTTCGGTTACTGTCGATTCTGCCATAGCCTTTGCCACGATCATACGGTGTGTCTATTGAATGGAGGAAACAATGCGGGTGAGGCAGAGGAGAGGCGTCAGGCGAATACGGAGATGGGTGTAAGGGCAACAAGCTACAAGGGGGCAGTGGTGGGAACCTCATCTGCACAACAACAAGAAAATGAGCTCAAATTACAGGATCGTGTGAGTAACTACAAGGGGAAAGAAAAGGCGGTGGTTACAAGGGACCGTGAAGGTATCAACCGACGGGATCAGAACAATGGTTACCATATGAGTGATCGTCGTCAAGGGGAATCTACCTCAAGGGTGTATAGAAAAGGACACCCATCGAGACGGTCTAACGGGGATGTTAAACAGCGGAAAGGAGAAAACAACAGAGGGGAACACTGGTACGGCAAGGGACAGGAACTAGCCGATAATGCGGGGAGACAAACAGAGGCTGCAAAGGTCATTACTCAAAGACAATACTGTGAGAGACAACAACCAAGTCCCACACGTTCAGTTAAAAAGGTTTGGAAGTCTCTATTTAAGGATGATGCTATTATGGGTATGGATGAGGAAATGATGGAAAATGGGTTATCTCTAAATGGTGGAGAACATGTTATGGACTCGTCTCTTGTTACCCTGCAGAATGTGGCACTGGAAAAAGGGGAGGAGGAATCGGATGACACAGGTCGTGAGACATCACTCACTGTGGGGGAGGGAGAAGCCTCGGAGGCGTCGAAGCTGGGAGACCATCAATCAATTAATCAGGATGCTCTTGATATCCCTGCTGAGGAAGGGGAGATGATCTTTTCAGATGCTGAAATCGAAGGTAATCCTCCCTCAGGTGAAATTTGTGATAACAATTTTGAGGATGAACTTGAGGAGAATGGGGTATCGAAAGAGACAAATGCAGGGAAACATGTCCTCAACGACAAGGGGCAAACCCACAAGACGGGTTTTAACCAGAAACGACCACCTCGGCTCATGTTGGGAAGTTCCAAAACAAGTGCTAAACAGCGTTTGGTTCAGGCTCTGATTTCATCAAGAAAAAGAGGGCATTTGAAGATAGCCGGTCGTCATGGGGGAAGCATTCAAGGGGAACACAAGAAACCGGGTAAACCCGGGACTACCGGTCCGGAAACATCATAATTTTTAAATGCGGATTTTAAGTTGGAATTGTCAGGGTTTGGGTAACCCATACACAATAAACTATTTGCGAGAGGTTTGGAAGAAATTTAAACCAGAGTTTCTTTTTTTTTCAGAAACTAAAAACAGTTTTTCTTTTATTCAGCAATTTCAGTTTCATTTTGGTTACAATAAATTGTACACGGTTGAACCATGTGGTTCTAATAACGGTCTTGCTTTATTTTATAATAATAATCTTGATGTACAAGTCTTATTTGCAAGCAAGTGGATGATTGATATTGAGGCAAAATATGACGGAAATACAATTTGTTTAACATTTGTCTACGGTAACCCTATCACTAAATATAAAAATGAAGTTTGGGAATGGCTAACGAGAATGGATATAAGTAGAACGGAACCATGGTTTCTAATCAGAGATTTTAACGAAATAACAGGAAACCATGAGAAACAAGGTGGAAATCTACGACAACCATCCACATTTGTGGATTTTAATGTGATGATACGCAATTGCGGATTATTGGATTTCCCAAATAGAGGAAATACATTATCATGGTGTGGGCGACGAAATGGTCAAATAGTGCGATGCAGACTAGACAGAGCCTTAGCAACAGAGGAGTGGCATGATTTTTTTCCCCACTCGTATGTAGAATATCTACGTATGATTGGTTCGGATCACCGACCAATAGTGGCCACAATACAATCACAACGGTACAGACGTAGACAGCAATTTCGGTTTGATAAACGGTGGATAGGGGGAAAGGGTTTGATGGAATCAATTGAACAGGGCTGGCAGCGAGGCAACGGGAAGGAGGATCAAACAGTAGTAGACAGAATTATAAATTGCCGACATGAAATCTCAAAATGGAGGAAAGAAAATAAACCATATGGAAAGGACAAAATAGAACAACTTCAACGGAAATTGGAAGAATATCAAAATGATGATTTAAGATCACAAGAGGACCTAGCAGCCATAACACGGGAATTATAGGAAGTATATAAGGAAGAAGCAATTCATTGGCAACAGAAAAGTAGAAATTTATGGAATAGAAGCGGGGACCTTAATACAAAATTCTACCATGCATCTACAAAACAAAGGAGGACCATAAATAGACTATTGGGGCTATACAATAGTGATGGTGTTTGGGTAGCGGGTGAGAAAGAGATAGAAAAGGTGGCGGTGACCTATTTTGAAGAACTATTTACCACTTCATCGCCTACATCCTTTGACGACGCTCTAGCAGAGGTAAAATCAGAGGTAACAGAGGAAGACAATGAGAGCTTAACAAAGCCAGCAACAGAAGAGGAGGTAAAAACGGCTTTATTCATGATACACCCGGAAAAAGCTCCGGGACCGGATGGATTGACAGTACTTTTTTACCAACAATCATGGGGCATAATCAAAAATAAGGTGGTACAAATGGTGAACAATTTTATGCTCAACGGAGAGTTTGATCGGAGACTAAACATGACACATATATATCTCATCCCGAAAACAGAACGACCAACAAAGATGACGGAACTGCGACCGATAAGTCTATGCAATGTGGGTTACAAAATCATCTCAAAGGTCTTATGTCAGCGATTGCGACGTCTACTCCCTAGACTGGTCTCTGAAACTCAGTCGGCTTTCATCGCAGGCAGACTCATCTCAGACAATATTCTGATAGCTCAGGAGATGTTTCACGGTTTACGCACAAATAAATCGTGTAAAAACAAATATATGGCGGTAAAAACGGACATGAGCAAGGCATATGACCGGGTTGAATGGACATTCGTGGAGCGGTTACTTCGGAAAATGGGGTTTGGGGATAAATGGATAAAATGGATGTTGTGGAGTATACAATCAGTACAATATAAGGTGCTCATAAACGGACAAGCTAGGGGACATATAATCCCAAAACAGGGACTCAGACAGGGGGACCCTCTATCCCCATATCTTTTCATTCTTTGCACGGAAGTATTAACAGCGAATCTGAATAAAGCAGCACAAATGAAACTACTTACGGGTATGAAAGTGGCACGGGGGTGCCCACCGGTTACACATCTATTATTTGCGGATGACAGCCTTTTTCTGTAAGGCAACAAGGGCGGAGACGCAAGTTCTCCTAGGCATTTTACAACAATATGAATCCGTCTCGGGCCAAAAAATAAATTTTGAAAAATCATCGGTGCAATTTGGACATACAGTGGATCCAAATATTAAGGATGATATACATCAGACATTACATATCATGAATGAAGGAGGGATGAGTACATATTTAGGGATTCCTGAGAGCCTGGGGGGAGCTAAGACAAAAATCTTTAACTTTTTGGTAGATAGGCAACATAAACGGATTAACGGATGGACCTCACGGTTACTATCAAAAGGGGGAAAGGAAGTGCTGATAAAATCAGTGGCATCAGCGATACCAATCTTCGCAATGTCTTGTTTCCGACTCCCGAAGGCAATCACCCAGAAACTGACTAGCACAAGTGCTAAATTCTGGTTGAGTACAGACGGCCAAACAAGGGGACTGCATTGGATGTCATGGAAAAAATTGTGCAAACACAAATGAGCGGGAGGATTGGGTTTTCGGATAATAGAGGATTTTAACACTGCATTGCTGGCTAAACAATTGTGGCGCCTTATGAGGTACCCAAATTCCTTATTCGCACAAGTTTTCAAAGATCGATACTATCGGAATGGGTGTCCAATGGATCCGATTCGGTCATATTCAGCATCCTATGGATGGCAGAGTATTATTTCGGCTAGATCTCTGGTTAAAAAAGGACTCATTAAAAATGTCGGTTCGGGGGATTCTATATCTGTATGGAATGACCCATGGATACCGGCTACTTGCCCGAGATCAGCAACAAGTCGGGGATATAATATATACCCCGAGCTCAAAGTCAAGAATTTGATTGATTTTACTACAAATACCTGGAATCTACCGCTTATTGAGCAACTCATTGTCTCAGAGGATATCCCATATATTACGAGAATCCCCACTAGTAGGGTCTTAAGGCCAGATTTATGTACTTGACATTTCACAAAAAGCAGAAAATATACGGTGAAGTCTGGATATGCCACGGAACAGGAATACCCAACATATGATAATATATTACCGGTATACGGCCCTGATATAACTCAACTACATAGTAGGAGGATAAACTGTGATACGCAATGTGGACGTTGTGGAGCTGAAATAGAGACAATCAACCACATGTTGTTGGAATGTCCACCATCCTTTCAGGTCTGGGCGTTATCAGCAATACCTACCCCAATGACAATTTTCCCTACGGCAGCGATATACTCAAATATGGCACATCTTTTTTGGCATCTACCAAATACAGTGGAAATGGAAGTGTTTCCATGGATTCTTTGGTATATATGGAAAGCTAGAAATGACAAAATACATTCAAACATCGATCGAGATCCCAGAGAAGTCTTACGTATAGCACAGGCATAGGCTACATCGTGGGCGTTGGCACAAATTGATTCCCCACAGAGGGAAGCCCAAAATATCCAACATACAGTCACACAAGGTTATGATGGTGTCGTCTGTCATACAGATGGATCTTGGAAATCAACAGCATTAAATGCCGGCCTAGGATGGTATTGTTATGACAATGGATCAGGTGGTACAATTATGGGGGCGAAGAATGTAAGACGAAGCATATCTCCATTATATACAGAATTGGAAGCTTTGATATGGGCTATGCACTGCATGCTTCAGGAAAGAAGATTGGAAATGGCGTTCGTTACGGATTGTTCAGAACTGGTGAAGATGGTTTCTAAACCAGAAGACTGGCCGGCTTTCGCTCTACATCTGGAGGAATATGAGACAGGCAGGAAGGAATTTCAGTTCTTCTCGATCTCATATATCTCGCGCGCTCAAAACACAAAGACAGACAAGCTAGCATGAGGTGCACGCGACTACCTTTACAATTTAAACTATGTAAACTCAACTCCGCCGATTTGGTTACCAGAATCGTTCTAAGAGATTGAGGCTGTTGACAAAAAAAAAAAAAAAAAAAAAACCATTTCCTATAAATTCAAATAAATCGTAATTCAATTAATTCTCTTGAAGTTTACAATTCTTCATCATTGACTAAAAAATGTATAGAAAACTTAAAACATTATCTTTATGAAACAAAAATAAAATCTATAAAATCCTTCTTTTAGTAATAGAGAGAGTATATTTTAGGATAATAAAAAAAAACATTTAAAAAGAGACAAATATAATATACTATAATATAGAATAAATATATATAAAATAGTAGTACACATGTATAAAATTTAAAATTAAATTAATAATAAGTTTGTGCAACACACGGATCAAAATCTAGTATATTGGTAACCACTTTCTGTAATCTTTTTGAGTTAATACATCAGAAATTTTAGCGTCAAAGAGAAATATTATGTTTAACACCTCCAAATTTATAACTTTGATAACACTAATAAATAAATAAAAATAATTTGTGTAATATATCAGTTATATTTTTTTCTAAACTAATTTACTCATAAAAAATATACAAAACAAGGCCTAAATTTCTTTAAAATAAAGAATGTTCCAATTGTTTTTGAGTTTGCAATCTATTATGACAACATCTTAGATCTAAAAAACCCATAATATATTATATTCATACAGACTATGACATGGTTAGTTAGGTGTATTCAATATAATCTGTATTGGAACATGTAATCTATAATATTGAAAAACTTCTTTGATGGCCTTAACATGTAATCTTGTTCTCTAGGGTCTATGTGAGCACAAATTGTAATAAATCTGCTTTATATGTGAGAACAGAAACATGTGGGAACCACCAAAAGGGTTTCTTGTGGTGTACGTCGACAATAAAAACCAGAAAAAGAAGTAGATATTTAACACCTTGGATCTAGGTTCAAAAAGAAAAGGAAAGGCCCATGAGTCTAAAACCCAA